CAACCAACAAGCTTGTAAAAAAAATTATTTTCTCGAGCTCAAAATTAAAAAGTTTTATTTTTCTACTAATTTGTTTTTTGCAAATCTAATATTACAATGTCATTCAGCAGAATATTGAATCTTTTTGGTATAATCGCACATCTAATTTTTGTTATACAATACATATTCCAAGAATTTTATAATTACTACAGCATTATAAACATTTGCATCGCTCGGCTATGAATGACAATGGGTTCATATCACCATGGCAGAATAGAAAGGTGATGTTAGCCTGCGCGAAATATTCTGCTATGAAGATGTAGGTCAGTTTATCTGCGTGGAATATTCCGCTTATTCATGTGGAAATTTTCTATGCTACTATGAAATAAGAGCAATAATAATACAATAATGCGTGCTCGAAATTAATTCACAACATTTGGTCCAAATTTTATTTTTCTGCGATCGCGTTAATTTCTCTGGAAGACTATTTTTATATATTTTTATAAAACATATTGTACACTATACGTATAACGTTATATCATTACATTAATGTAATAACAAATATTCTTATATGAGTTCTATCATATATATTGGCAACGCTCTGTGTGACTCAGAGTGTATATTGCTTCATTTCTTGTATAAGAATATTTGATATTACATTGACGTGATGGTGACATTATGTATAATGTATATAGATTTTAATAGGTAGTCAGATGTAACAAACTTTGAACATTTGATTTATAAACTATAACAATTGTCATTACGGTAAAACCGTACAATTGTCATTGACAAAATTTGATTATCTTTTAAATATCAGTTTGCAATATTAATATCTCTTTATGCTACCATGTCTGCTGCAAATCTAATTTCTTGTGGAGACGTTTCAAGTAATAATGAAAAAAATTTGTTCTTTCGAAAGAATAAGAGTAAATAAAGATTGCACTCTGACCATCTTATTTATTATTGCCGCGAAGCAGAATTATTTGTCTATCTATTATTACAACGGTAGAATTCAGATCTAATAGACGAACGTCTATAAATGGTAGATCGAAGCGACAACCAATAGCCCTCCTCTTGCGGTTGATAGCAAGCCGCAAAATAATCATGGACGTAATGCTCGAGAAAAAGGGGAAAACGAGGAAGGTGTGGATAGCACTTGTTCCGAGAGAGGTCTGAGTGGTCGAGCGAAAGGAATGGGAGATCGGAATGATCTAACGCGAAGGGGCGGAAGGTAGTGGTGGACGACGAAGATGGTCGTACGAGTCGGCGGAGGGAGAAAAATCTTCGAACGGGGTGTGTAGGAAAGGATGAAAAGACGAGCGCGATTCTCCGTTCCCGGGAGGGAGAGATGTCGGGGATTGAGAGGGATGAACGCTAAGGGTGGGAAGGCAACGCGGCGCAAGGGAGGCAGAATGAACGAATTACTCGCGCGGCGCAGGCGCCATTTTGCAAACACGGACGGCCATCTTGTAATGGGGTACGTGGTACGCGGGGGTGGTGGGAAGATAATATAACCATTCCTGATATCGAACAGCGCTTCAGTACTTACGGAGACAGAGACAGAGACCTACGACGTCATCAGGAGCTGCTCCTGTGCAGCGAGCGAGATCGCGGTTTTCTCACATCTTTTTTTCATCACACACGTTCCTTCGATTTCTCTCAATCACCACACACAGACTTGACGTGGACAGTCTTATATCTCGCATATCGCCGACGCGACGTGCTCGCTCGTTGACGATCTATTTCTCTCTTTTTCCTTCTTTTTTCTTCTTTGGTGCTTTCGAAGTGACGTCCTCCCGTCAGCGATAGCTTTTGGAAATCTCGAAACTGGACATCACGAACGAATTGTACAATTTCAACGTCAATTTAGGAAGTTGTAAAACATTTTGAAGCTCCGCGCATGACGAATACACTTCATAGGTCACGGCTTTCGGAAATGTGCTATAACGTGTATTATTTATTGCATCAAGGATGCTGCGCGTATCTACCGCAAATTGGGTCATGTCACTCGCGAACAGTCGATATTACGTTATCGCGTAATTATGTAATTAATTGAGGTGAAAACGGCATGACGTTGCTTTGATATCCATCTAATCCGCCTTTGTCGACGAAATGATAATTAATTTCAGTAACAGACACATTATACGAAATTAAATCTCTCCCGTGTAATTAATTTATTTACAAGCGCGTGTAGAAATTATTACACGTACCTGTTGCACACTACATTTTTAATAAACTGGGATTTGCAACGGGTTGAAAATAATGTATAATGTTGAATGTAACGCGGGTACGTTTCCGCCTAACTTCTGTGTTTGTACATGTAAGTATACGCTGAATTCCGGCCGGAAAAAAGTAGCATAGTGCAAAATGCATCGCCGGTGACAGTGCGCGACTGTAATATCGATTTTTCAAACGCGACGAAGGCGACATCACGACCAGGATTTTCGATGCACACCACACACACACACACACACGAATACCTACTTCTTCACAAGTTAAAATTCACGAATCGCTATTTGTCATCTAGTTATCGTTCGATTCGCGTTAATCCGAAAGTAATCCAGGAAAATGGATTCCCGGCGAACCTGTGCTAATTAGGAATCCATCTCGTAAGTTACATCTCTCGTGTCGCTACCTGTTGCGCGTTACTTTCCTGCAGGAATACCGTATCGATTCAATAGACACTTTTTTCCTATATGCGAACACGCCATTTATAAAGGGCTTTTCAATCCAATTTGTAGCTTTCATGGAAATATTCGTATTTTTCGTTCATTTAATAAACAAACGTAATTCTAAAGAGCATATACATATAATGATAAATTATTAAAAATATAAAATAAATTATTGTTATCCAATTTATTTTTGTATTTATTGAAATTAAAATTGATTAGATGAGAGACCGTTGTCCGTTGTGTAAACTATATATATTTTTCCATTTTATTTATCAGTATATTTTGAAGAATAGAGATACTTGTTGAGAACAATATTTCTCATCTAATAGATGTGCATCAGGAAAGTTTAGACTTAAAATTATGTAAGTTTTTAAATATAAATATGCAATATTAATAATTACCTGATTTAAATTGTTTGTAGAAATTAACAGAGATATAAAGTCGACAAAAGTATACAAGTGGAAACATATCAGTAAATATATATCGTTGTTAAATAGTATCGCGTTCTCACGAAACATGATCAAAAAAGAGTTTTATTTGTAACACAAATAAAACTCTTAACAAACATATTATTACGCGTTAATTTTGTTAATAATTTATGAATTTAGAGAGAAATATACAAAAGAGAGAAAGAACAAAAAATAGATATCAAATATAATTATTTAATATACTTTTTACAGTTTAATTTCTCTCTTGCATATTTATTTAACATTTCAGCGTACGTTATGTAGTAGAATTCTATTATATCGTAACATAACGTAGAATGGTGCGTATCTCGTCCTCGTGCATCATTAATATGTAGTCCGTACATGCTGCTGCGGCGGCGGCGACGACGACGCAAGTGCGGCATGTCGGCAAAATTAATTCTACATTGTAGACGGATACTAAGTGCCTACCTGTTGCACTGTGCGTGATAGGACGATCGCGTTTTGAGCACATCAGAAGCGCGGACGCTGAAAGACACTCGGTGAATGAAAAATTTTACGCGCCTATCCTGTAGAATTGACGCGAGCTTAATCTTATTGTCAGCTTCGCAATGCTGAATTCTACTGTTCGTGATCAATCTTTGAGATTCTCAGCCCATCCGCGGATATATCACGACAAATGTAATGTAAGCATGTGAGAAAGATTTCGCAGCTTTATTTTTTAAACAGACGCTTTTGGAGATCGCACGTTTGACAAAATCTTGATGTTTATTTCTCTCTTACCGTTTTATCCAAGATAAATTTTTTTTCTTCAAATTTACTGAAGCCAATATTCGACAAAAATTGTCGCAGTTTTGTTTAGTGTACGATAGATTTTATATTTGTTCAGGTTTTTGGAAAACATATTTCTTTCTATCACATTTCCGAATATATGTTTACATGTTTACATGTAAAATATTTATGGTGAGAATTGAATTTTCTATTTGATTCCAAGCCACGTTCGTTCTTTCGTTTGATTACATTCTGTATAGCTTTGTAGGAAAGAATGTGTCTATTTATTCGCAGACGGTAAATATACGTCAGCAAGTAGCTCTCAAATATGTCAAGAAACGTCGGTGAGAGAAACTTCGAGATGACTTACTCCGTCTGACTTACGTGATGGAGACGCATACTGGCGCACCTGTTGCACGTTAATTCAAGATAAGGAAAGAGAGGAAAAAAAAAAGAAAGATTGCATTGTGCATCTCGGTCGAACATTTAAACAATTTCTTTTGACTTGCGCCTTTGCGCTACCTGTTGAATTACACAGAATCGACAAATTTGAGCAAACGTCACCACGAACTGCGCTTTCCGTCAATCTTTGCAGTTTAGTTTGTTTATCAAACCTGACAGTAGTCTTGTAAACTGTTGCTCGGGGCTATTGACGTTGGCAAGTTTAAATAATAGTGATTCTATTACTTGACTATTATTTACGTGGCAAAGATAAATTGTTGCAATATAACATTCAATTTCTCTCTCTCTCTCTCTCTCTTTGTGTGTGTGTATTTATTATATATATGTGATAAATATATTATTGCAACATCATTATTACATACGAGCACGTTTGTATGTAATTGAATGCAAATTAATATTTAAAATATATTATTTTTTATTATATTTAATATAAACTATGCATCATGAGATGCGTGTTTCTAGAAATTATGAATCCAATTTTTATCCAATTTTTATATTTGAATGGTTTAAAAGCGCTTAAAAAGTATTGTAAAAAAACAATGGATATTTTGAATGCGTTTTTTTGTTGATTTGTTAAATGGTCAAATTTTAAACGACATAGTTGACGTAGAACTATTTACACAACGAACAAAAATCTGAGACGAGACATGACAAACTTGGCGTTTCCGGATTTATCGCGATTGGAATCGATGTTCCTAACAATGTGAAAAGTAAATTTTATCGATCGCAAAATAATCAATAACATTGCCGGTTCATTAAAAGCAGCATCAAATATTCAGCTTCTGCCCGGAAAGACCACGACATTTTTGGTGAGTGTTAAAAAAATGCATGCACATATTAGATTTAAGAGATTTCAGATATAGAAATAAGTTTGGAATAGAGAATTTTATGAAAAAGAATTCATCCATTTACAAAATTCTTTAAAAAAAAGGAAAATATGTTTATTCTTTATTTCTTTATGAAAGATATCATGTATACAAAATTTATCGAATCTTTCCGAATAAATTTAATAAATTATTTTATCGCACTAGTCGGGAGTAGGCGGGATTTATGAAGTTAAATGTGCTCGAAATTTAAAAGAGCTAAAAATGATCAAAGCGGAACGAACGCGAGACCGTAATGTGCCATGCGAAAGTAACCAAAATGGAACGTGACCCCATACGTGATTTTTACGAATTACATTACAGTTGACCTCTTTTGCATAATGTATGTCATACGTTACTGCTGAAACTCTCAGTGCTACGGTGATCTAACCTAAAGCTGAAAGCTTTAAGCGTGGAAAGAATAAAAATCGCGAAATACGGAAAAATAAGGATGTACAAGTGCAAGATATTTTTCCCGGGTGTACTGTAGAATCTTTACGTATCTTGCCCGCAATAAAAGAAAGAAAAACATCTCTTTCAATCGTATTTGATATAACGAGCTTTCCGTCAATCTTTGCAGTTTAGTTTGTTTATCAAACCTGACAGTAGTCTTGTAAACTGTTGCTCGGGGCTATTGACGTTGGCAAGTTTAAATAATAGTGATTCTATTACTTGACTATTATTTACGTGGCAAAGATAAATTGTTGCAATATAACATTCAATTTCTCTCTCTCTCTCTCTCTCTCTTTGTGTGTGTGTATTTATTATATATATGTGATAAATATATTATTGCAACATCATTATTACATACGAGCACGTTTGTATGTAATTCCCGGGTGTACTGTAGAATCTTTACGTATCTTGCCCGCAATAAAAGAAAGAAAAACATCTCTTTCAATCGTATTTGATATAACGAAATGCCGCAACGTGATATGATACAAAGTATAAACTTAATCATTTTATAAATATATTATTTTACAAACGCGTTTTTTCTTTCTTTCAAGATTTCAACTAAATTTTATAAGTTTTACATGACAAATTTTAAATATATATTTGCGATAATAATTAGTATACAGTTAGACATTAACGATGTTAGATTATAATTACTTTGGCCTGCCTGGATTTGATTCTATAAAATAATAAACAGTTAATGGTATATGCTAAATTACAATAGAAATAGCTTAGATCAATGAGAGGCAAATTTCACATCCCCATGTACTTTTGCAGTCAATTTTCGAAAGGGGCCAAGGCACGGATGCCGGTAACTAAACGGTGATAAAGCTTTAATTGCAAGAGAATCATGATTACCACGGCCATTTCGTATACGTCGTATACCAAAGGAACGATTACTAACCATGCCTTACGCCGGCTTGGTCGTTTGACGGAGCCTCGCCGGCGAAATTCATTATACGATTAGATAATTAAGTTAATTGACGAAGAGTAATGGAAGACGGGCGTCTTACCAGTCGTAAACTTTATGCTGAAACCGCATCACATCTTAGAAAATTATTACTTCACCCGAACGTTCCTTGTTCAATTCGCATTCCCCGGATCAATTTTATTTCTTTGACGGTTCATCAGCAAAAAATATTTTAAGTGATGTCTCTTTTTTTCACAGTTATATCTAGCGTATTAATATACACTAAAATTATTAATAGATTATATTAAAATGAATATTTCCCATAAAAAAAAATAAACATATATACAAAATAAGGAAATCCCCGAAATTAGCATATAAAAATGTAAATTTGAATCTTTTTAATTTTTTAGTACAAGAAATGCCATGCATTAGCTTTATATAGGAACACGTTTGTTATTCTATGCGCAGCTAATACAAAAAAAAAAACTCAAATTGCATTTTGTCGATAAAAACGACTTCGGAATTCTATTAACGAACATTGTATACACTCAAATTAGAAAATGCATCAAAATTACAGGTTAAATCGCCATTAGGTTCAGCGGTCACGTTTCCCTGATGAACTCGAATGCAGCTTTTGTTGCACAATTTCGCACGATTTACATTCAGATCGCGCGCGATTAGATTAGGCATTTATCCTGAGTTAGACGACTGGGAATTGGTTCGTCTACTTGACGGCGTTTTTAATCGCCGTAGACCGGGATGTTCGTAAACGAAACTATTTGCCGATTGTTGTGCCTTAATATCGGATGTAATATATAGCGAGTACACAATAGTGATAACAATAGTGCCAGGTTATTTCGACACGAATCCGCTTTCTTTTTTCTTTTTTTTTTTTCATCCATTCCGACCGAATTGCAATCGGCTCGATTATGGGCGCATTCAGATGCCGGTGCGATGTTTCGCCGTGAGAATTATCCCATCTCGTCGCGTCTCTCTTTTTCTTTTTCCTTCTCACTCTTTCTTTTTCTCGGTCGCTTCCTTTCTCTGTCGCACGTCCATTTTCATTTGCGTCCGCACACGGAAATCGTGCCGTTCGATTAAACTCGATGTCCGCGATGCATCAATCGGCACGAGAGTAAATCGCATACGGCGCTAATTTATTAGACACCCGGCTTTATCCGCGTTCTATGCGACAAATACGTGAGAAAACATGTCTTTGAATTTCGAAATGTGAGTTTTAATAATAATAATAAAATTTGATGTTTTTTAATAATTTTAATTTCGAAGATGGTTTTGGACACACATTATTTTCCTTAATTCTATAAAAATAATTCTATAAATATCTGTATCTTGTAATCTCTTTATAGAAACATAGTTTTACCCGTATTCGATAAAGGATAATGCTTTTCATTGCCGCGCTGCGATGCCAAGCTTGCGTTCTCGACGCAAATGTATGCATCACAATAACGTGGTAGCGCATATATATCGCTCGCTGGCACCCGCGTATGCCTGCCAAATACACCCCCGGATATATACCGCTATTCAGAATATATGACATCATTATTCCCTCTGCGTGACTCATCTTTATCTCTCAAATTAGGGCGAACCGCATTGAGTGCATACCGGAGCAGTTAAAAAGCGGTGCACCAACTGGCAAAAGGCGATGCCCGTTTTATCGCGAGAAAAGTAGAACAACGACCATTAAAAATCTGTGTTTTATGACCATGCGATAAATTGATTGTCTGTAAAATAGTTTAATGTTAACCATGTAATCTTTTAGAGAGCTTAATTTCAATATTATGAAATTAAATCGAATTTTTTTTTTGTTGAGAAGAATTGGGATTATAAGCGATTGAAATGATTTCTGATGGCAAATCGCGAATAATAAATGCGATGTCTTTATTCTCTCTTATACTGAAAGTGAGAGATTAAAATTAAATATATGTATGAAGTTGAATCGATGAAAATTAAATATTGTCTCTCCTCCACGAAAATTATTACACCGTAGAAGGTATATTCATTCCTCAAAGTACAATATATTATCTGCATTACAAGTATGTACAATAAGATATAAATTACTGGCAATGCAAACAGCGGTTTGCCATTTGGGGAGAAATTGACATAAATTACGGTAACGAAAACTATCGAGCCAAACTGTGCACGAGACTGTGTATCAAGAATGAGTCAAATATACATTATGAAATCAGGACGTGGCTTAAATGGCCGGTGGGAGATTACACACAACGGAAGATGAAGAATGCGCGTGTCGGTGGTGTTCTTATCCGAGTGAAACTGCATATACGGGCGTACTCGACAAAAAAAAAAGGCACGCTCAACCGAATTCCTTTAATACGTTCGACGAGTATGACAGGAAACAGAAAAAAAAAAAAAAAAAATAAGAAATACAGCGACGGGAATAGTGCGGTGGAACACAAAAGATACAATAGGCGATGAAAACTTTTCTGGAGGAGAAAGAGGACGGGGGAGAGATGGTAGTTGGGGGATATGGTATTGAGAGAGAGAAAAACGCACAGGCTCGCCGAAAGAATTCAGGTCAATGGAAAAAGGCCCGGTAGGAGTACGGCAATACTCTTTTTACCGCTTTGAAGTTCCCTCGGAGTTCTAATCCCTTTTCTCTATTCGATCACTTCGACATTTTCGACTTTTAATGTCGCGGAAAGTCTCGGCGAAACACTATTGCGTTTTTTTATTCTTGTACGAAAAATATTACTTATGTCTCATTGATTTTCTGATCATATTTTTTTCGTAAAAAGCGATTAGTAAAATGTACTTCATATGATATATATATATATATA